GCATTACAGATAGACCATAGTCCAGCAATCAAGCGACTCTAGTTTCTAAACATTGTTTGCACTTGTTTCTGCCAACGGAGTGCATCTGAATAATATGTACATGCTATGCTACGCCCTTGGAGATCTCTCTGATGAAGGACTATAGCATGGTCATCTTGTCAAGAACTGTGTATTCGCATCATATCGGGCTCCACATGAGATCCATGGATACAAGTCACTCGTCATTTCATACAATCCCTCATGTCGAATCTTTCTCCTGAGACTGGCCTCCGCCGACGGCAATTGCAAAAGCTGGGACGATGCACCGGTCTCGAACTCTGTCTGATTCCCGCGGGCACTTTGCTCCTGTCCGGGCACCAGAATTCTGGGATATTGGAGTGCTATTTAGCAACACCTCCGGCAGACTCTGTCCCGGAGAGGCGGTGAGGGGCGGTGTCATGGGCTCGAACGAGGCATTGGAGAGCGACTGCCACCACGAGAAGAGCCCAGACAATCCGTTCATGCGCACTGGAAAAACAAGCACGGCAATTCCATCCGTACCTACCTGAAAATCCTAGGCAGCAGAATGGATACTCGGTTCCGTGTCGTCAGGCAGGGCGTCTGGGTGCGAAAAGTCGGCGGCAGGCGCGTCAATTTTCAAGCGTACCTACCTCAGATTGTCGGAGAGCAAATTGAATCTGCTGGTCTGGACTGTCAGATGAATCACACTGGCAGAAGAAGGTGCGTCAATTTCTATATGCGCCTGCCTCACCAGATTGTGAGATCGGCGGAAGAGCGGCGAGGAGGAGCTCATTGGGTTCTCTTCTTCGCACTTTTCTGTCTTCTAGCAGCCAGCAGTTGGTTTCTGACAGCGCAGATTGTGCAACTCGTGAGAGAGAACGCTGATTTGAGCCAGAGAGGCGCCGTGATGTAGCCAGCAGACGCCAAGTTGAAGCCACTCGGACTATGAACATCGCGAGCTCGCTCGCGTGATGTAGAAGCCCGCGGCGAGCTCGTGGGATACCAAAGGTGACGTATCAGTCGAAATGGACTCTCCGGGAACTGGCCGGAACTCGACCAAAATGCGTGTTCCAAAGGCAGGTGCGTCGAATTTCAACCGTACTTACCTTTGAATGTTGGAGGGGCCAGCCAAAGTCTTTCGGTCCCGACTGTCAAATGACTCACACTGGCAGAAGAAGGCGCGTCAAGTTCCAGCCGTGCCTGCTCTAGATCACCAGATTGCAATCCAAATTCTCTCGTCCAGACTGTCAGGTGACGTATTTGGTCGGAAGGTGCGCCAATTTCCCGACGTACCTGCTTGAGAACCTCAGATAGAACGCCAGACTCTTCAGTCCAGACCGTCAGATAAGCAACATGGATGGAAGTCACGTCAATCCTCGCGCGCGTCAACTTGGGAAGTCAGGCCAGCAATTCCCGCCAACAGATTTCCAGCTCCTTCCCACTTATCATCCTCACTTGAAGTTCCTCTCGAACACTTCATTTCTGAACACCATTCTCATCATAGGGTTTACTGCTTGACAGGTTTTTGATGCATTCCATGCCACTCAGCCCCATTCCTAAACCTTGAGCATTGTGGCATTCATGCTGGGTGCACCTCGACCAGGCCCGCACATTCTCTCCAACAGAAACTCTTCTCTCGATCAGCACCTTACGACTCAAGCAAGAGACTTCTTCCAAGCTCGACCATCACGGTTGGGCTTTTTTTTCCCCTTTCCTGAAGCATCTCGTCCTTCGAGAAGTACCCAGCGATTCAAGCAAGACTCCCAACAGCTTTGACCGCCTCGACCAAGATGTCTTCCTACATTCCTTTCGTTTCTTTGTCTGAATGGAGAGAACATTTCCAGGAGATGGCAGAGATGGCGGGTGGCTACTACTGCCAGTACTGCGATGTGCTCAACGAGAGCCCTGAGCCCACTGCCAATTACGTTGACGTGGACAGCCTCATACACCACACTCAGGAGGACACCAACTTCTCAAACGAGGCATTGAGAGTTCAACACGTTGCGCTCAAGATACAAGATGGGTGGGCCCTTCCAGAGTGGGCCAAGCTCAAAGACGACCCGTTCCACGAAGGTCACATCCTCGCTGACATGCAGTTTCAATACTTTGACGAGAGCGTTGATTGGGACGGGATGTTTGAGTCGGTTGAACGAATGGTTGAGGCAAGCCGCAACGGCGGTGATGGTGGTGCCGGTGCAAAAAAGGACATTGGTGGCAAGTAAGCCTTGAGCGGTACGTAGTCACTCATCAAACAGATGTGACACATCAAACTAACTCTGTTTAGCATACATTCTTCGATTCTGGTTCATGGTCCCCTTTTTTCTGTTGCAGCACCGAAGTCTACCTCCACGCTGCCTCCGTCTGTCAGAACCCCACTGTGTCAACATGCAATTTCCGCGACCTTCAGGTGACTGTGAAGTGTCTTCCCAAGATGAAGCCTACATGTACTATACTTCCCAACTTTTGACGACCCAAAGCAAGTCAGGTGCCTACAATTCACGCAGCGACGGTGTATGAAGCTTGCGAGAACGACTTGGAGAATCATGGAGGAAGCTGTCCATAAGACCTAGATGTACATACATATATACACGGTCTGTCATGATCGACCTTTTCACCATGTCATTCCCACTCATTAACTGGATAAAGGCGCTTTGTCATGGCCTGGAACTAAGATACGACAGCGCAATGACGAACCCCGAGGCTGGTGGGATTGATCAGTGCCCAGAGAGAAATATCATGCCTGGCTTGAGTCACGATTCCCAGCATGATCGTGCACCTTGAATTTTCCGAACAACTATAGAAGAAGAACCATCGTTGAAGACTGCTCAACTGTGTCCAACGAGGACTCCGTACCCGCAAATATCCACCGCAGCTTTACCGCGTCGCCCACCCGGCTGTGCCACTCACGATGCCCTCATTGTTAGGTAAGAACTATGCTACGCGCCCCATCTCATCAAAGTCTTCTGTCATTTACTCTTTTATCACCGTTCTTGTTCATCCGCTCATGAGAGCATCACTCAAGCACTAGTGGTTTAGTGGTAAAATCCATCGTTGCCATCGATGGGCCCCGCGTTCGATTCGCGGCTAGTGCAGCCTTTCTTTTTGTCCTTGGATGCCTTTTTGGTGTTTTGCTGCGTCTCTTCTGCAAGAAATTCTTATAAGTGGTAACCAATACCTGGAGAAGGCTCTGTCGAGGTTTCATTCTGCTGTATTGATCGCGATGGGACTCTATAAATTTGACATGCGATCGATGTTCCAGAACCTCGCAAGTCTTTGTTTGCACTCTCGAATAGGATTTTGCGTTCTCTCCAGAACTGACAAGACCAGAGAACAGCTTCAATTCCAGACAGACACTTGCTGAGATCAAATCCAACTACCGTGGGTCGACTTCTTGTGGATACTTCGGCCACGGCCGAGACAGGCCTGCGCATCTTCTCCTTCTCAGGCCTGCGGTATAGCTCGATGCGTTATTGAAAGCGTAGGCGGACGCCATTCTGGGCGTCGAGCTTTTGCTACCAGCTCAAAGTGGGCGTCGAAAAGCAGATGTAAGAACGGCCTCCAAATGAAATCTCCAACGAGGGTTTGACAAACTTGTTCCCATCTTTTTCTGCAGAGGCTGGCTGGCTCTCTTCTCTATACCGCCCACTGATTGCAAGCTTTGCTGTTCAAATTTCTCCAGAATCACCTTCAACGCTGCATGCCTTTGCATCCAAATCAGACGAACTAGGAGCCCACCATTGTCTGGTCGACGTTTGCAAGGTCACAAACAATCGAGACGTGCTATCTGTAGCCATCCGTGCCGATGACAGCGACTACAAAGCTCAAGAGGAGGATTTGAAAATTGTATAAACCGTGGCTTACTATGTAACAGCAACAGAACTGAGTGGATAGTATTACGAGCCGCAGACTCAAGTAGACCAACCAAGTTCTTCAAATATACTGATTAGGAAATCCATTGCCAAGGCAGTGGACAGGACACGAATGTGCAGATGGTGACGAGAAATGACTGGGGGGGGGGGGGGGGGGGGGGGGGGGGGGGGGGGGGGGGGGGGGGGGGCGCAGAATATAGTTCAAAGAATAAACCAATAAAGCGAGTCACGAAGAATCCCAGTGCTGGATTTGTAGCATTATTTCCACTCAATCGGATTTGTGTCTGAGGATAGTGACTTTGAATCACGGATAGGCTTAGGACGAACACGGGAGCAGCCATCAATGATTCATCCATAACACACAAAATGATCAGCTCCATCTCAGAGTCCGCGCCGAGAAGCGCAAGCCGCGAGACCAGTCCCAGAATTAAAGCCCCAATGAGGGAGTAATTTTGTCGCCTTCTTCTGTGGAAAATGAGTCTGAAGAATCTCGGACAGCAGAGCTGGTGACTACGAAGCGGATGATGAAAACAAGAGAACTGGACAGATGCGAGCAATGACAAAAATAATCCCAAAAGAAAAGGAGACAGCAAACTCAACCAGACGACTCCTAAAACAAATATCAGGGCCCAATTTATCTTTGCACTATGATCGCTTAATCGGATTCGTGCCGGAGAATATTGACTTCGAAAAATCGAATCGCGAATAGGTCTACCGTCTGCGACAGCACTAGAGCAGCAACCAAGGATTCACCCACGATACACAAAATACAGAAGTGAACAGTCGTCAAAGTGACTAATTAAAAGGGAAGAATCAGCAATGATCATTGTTCCGATCCTCTTTCAACATCAGTCACTGTCCAGCATGCTTTTTGCTGGGCAGGACTTGGGCTCCCAAGCCAGCCCGGGGCTTGGCCCCGGGGCAGAGTGGGGCAGAGCCGCCCGCGGCCCGCACTGATCCCTCCAATCAAAAGACTAGCCCCACCCCAGCCACTAGCGCGGTCCCGCGTTCGACTCAACGCAACGACACTCAATCCTCATCCAATTCAGCCAAAAACAAGCTGCAATGATGCCCAAAGCAAAGTAGAAGCTATTCCAGTCAATAAAAAGACCGTAAGAGGGCAAAAAGGATCGATGTTGGCCTGATTCGAACAGACGCTCCCGAAGGAACAAGATAGGCTCATATGATGATTCTAGTCTTGCGCATTAGACCACTCTGCCACAACACCATGTTGTGCTTGTTGAAAGAGAGCAACTTAAATACATTCATACGACTAGTAGTACATCCTGGGTTAGTGTGGGGATTGATTGGGTGGGGCTTGCCCGAGATTCAGCCGGGTGCGGGGCTCCAGGGCGACTGTGGGGCCACAGGCCCCAAAGGCCCCTCAGCGCCCAGAGATCACTGCAGCGCCAGTGCAAAGGGGCTCAGTGGGCGACGATGATTCCTGTCCTTGAACCTGATTGCTTCCTCTGCCATTGAAACATCTACGCTGCTTCTTCCATCAATTATATTGAGTCTTGATGCTTGGGTGTCTCAAAAGACTCTGGAGACTCTTATTGTTCTATCTATAGTCGAGAACATACTGAGCTTGTGTCTGCGACGAAGCTGTGTAAGCTGACATATTCGCCTTGCCATTGCTTTGTGTTCAATGTCGAGCGAACATGATCTACAGCAATTGGTGTTAGCCCAAATTACCAGTTGGCTCGTCATTGTGTCTGATCGAGCGGTGTTGCTTAAGAAGTGAGTCAGCAACGGCTGTACGGCTGCATCAATCTTCGGTATTGATTTGGCCAGCCAGTATGCATTCTTATTCTTGGCTGTTCTGGCCGAGTCCTTCACTCTTCGAAGTCATTATATTACTTGGACGAGTATGAATTGGCAGTATCTCTTCTCCAGCACGTACTTCGTATGCATAATATTTACCTTCAACATTACGCAAAGAAAGTTGGACATCTTTGCGTGTACGCATGGCCTACGCATACATGACTCGTCTCTAAATCTATGTGATATCTCTTTCCGGATACAATACCGAAAATTTTTCAGACCTCGAGACATTGATGTGCCAGGCAAGGTTATACACGTATCGATCGACAATGAGGTACATCATTTCTCCCGTCACAATTTAAGTTGATCGCGAAGCTTGGCAAATGGACTGTGCAATTGAGTACGGCATAACTGTATGATCCAGAGCGATTGGAGACATTCATCTATGGAGACTGGACTTCATTTCTATAACATAAGTGAAATACTCGGCCACTCATCCCCTCGATCTATCGGAAGACTTCCAGTAACCTTCGCGGTTCCCTTTCCAGAACGAAAAAATATCGTTCAAACATGGCGAATGATTCATGCTGCAGCGTTCGCCTCCGCAAATGGTGACAATTTGTGTCTCTGGGTATTCAAGTGTACAACTTTCTAGAGTTTGCTGACTCTGAAAGGAAAACCAGTATATCCGTTCGAGGTTCGATCCACAGCACCCGACTTCTCGACCTTTGGGTCTGTACTCACGGTGTCTGATGGAACCTCCTGTTGCAGCTTAGACTTCTGGTGCTTCTTGCGCTGAGCCATGCGCTCATCCAGCTCTTTGGTGACGAAATCCCAATCAACGGCAGCTGTTTCGTCATTCGACCCCTTCTTGGGATATGGAATTCTGGTCATGTTTCGAAATGCCTTGCCTTGTCTCTCGAGGCGTTGGTTCCGGTGACGATTGGCTTGGTTGACCAGGAAGTCTGCCGCCTCGACATAGTATCCCATCTCTTCATCGGTGTGCGGGACTGTCTTCTCGCTGCGCTTGAATGCTGTTGGAAACTTCCACTTCGACCTTCTGACAATTGCATCGAAATCCATGCTGTGCTCGTAGTGCTCCTCGGGGTTTCCCCACTCGCCGCAATCAGTCGTAGATTCGACGGGGGACTTATCAGCGAACTCATCGCCCCATGTGTTGAACGAATTCTCAAGAGATGAATCGGCGTCGCTGGTAAGAGAAGTATCGGAGTCTGGTGTCCAAGATCCCCAGCCTCCGCTGCTGCCATCAGTCTCAGCGCCCCAAATCTCTTCGTACATGGCCAGGTTGGAAGGATTCCCCTCATGTCCTTCAAGTGACTTGTCACCTTCTGCAGTCCTGGCGTTGATCTGAAGGAACTCTCGGTCGTCCAGATCCTGGAATGGCAAGGCTGCGAGTCGCTCAATGTGGCCTCGCATTTCGGCCTTTTTGGCTGCAATCATCCGCAGCTGAACACTCGCGAGGAGGTTCTGTCCATCATATATGACAGGTCTGACAATGTCTCGGCCCTTCATTGCGAAATGTGACATTGCTTCATCAGACCAGCCAGGCGCGGATCCCAAATGGCGAGTCATTCTCGGCGACGGTACTGAAGCTGAAGGAGGTTGTAAAGTAAATGTGACCGAGATTGTGTCTCAACAACGCAAATGCATTTGAGAATCTTGCAAAAGGCTCCTATGAAGCTCAAGATGACGAGTCCTTGGATGTTGGTTCGTAATTCGAGAATGTGGTCGAGTGCTGCAAAGGAGTGATTGCAAGTATGGTGCGCAGCTTGATTGTTGTGGTTGACTGGGAAATATCAAAGAAACCTTTCGTCCAGGTACTGGTGGGGGACTTCTGTTTGTCAACGAAGACTCTTGGGCGAGCCGAAAGCTAGCGATTGCGTCCCCCTAGTGTCCAAGAGAGAGCTTCAGTCCTGGCTTTTTCACTCAAAGATATCCGTTCAGTTGCAGAAAGGTTGTCGCTAAGAGACCATGCCGCAAGTTAGAAATGAACTTGTGCCAATATGGCAATCACAGGAAGATACGCCTTGCCCGCACTTTGAAATACTCACAATATTTATAAGAATGCTTTCGAGGAGAAGCAGAGACACAACAGGACCTTCACTGTAGGATTACGAGTTCGCCCTCGGGGGCGGATAGGATGCAATGTAGCGTCCGGTTTTTCGGTCGGAGGGGTCTAGATGGCAGAAGGCCGATCCGTTGTGTGGGCTCCGCGGGCAGAACAGGAAGGAACTTCCAAATGCATGAGCAAAATCCAATGATTGAGGAGAGAAACGTCCAAGAAAGGGAGAAGACTGATGATTTAGATTCGGAACAGCGCACCCAAAATGACGATTCGCATTGATGAGCTCTCGTCTTGTCGTTAAGTTCTGTCTGGTGGTTGCTGCGGTCACCTGCGACCTAGGCGGGTCCAATCGTGAAAGAAGGGTGGTAAATATTGGCACGGAAGGCACAGCTCAAGGACAGGTTACCTAGCTAGTCACCTGGCCTCACGGCTGCTGACCTCAAAGACAACAAACACGGGGTGGTGGCAAGCAGAACACAACAACCTCTTCATGCTCTGTTCGTCGACTTGCGGACATCCACACAAGACTCCGGGGCATACATGATTGATGCCTCTAGATGCGTAGCAACGACAATGATTTGCTCTATACCTGTTCCTTCTATCTACATCGACTTTGACAGCAATCGATGCTCGGAAGGGATGTGCACCTTGCAAGCTTCGTGGCAAGGCACCAGAAAATTTCGGCCTTCTCTCAGATTTAACATCGAGATCAAGCTTCCTCGAAGTTTGTATTACCATGCGGCAAACCACACAAGACGAATACAAACGCAACTTGGTGCATTTGCCTTATGCATTACTGACAGCAAGCCGCAGACCAGTCAGAGAAGAACCACTCGTATCCGGCGCAGCCAACGAGCCATTACCAGCGTCAGTGAGCTCGATGTTTTCTCTTCCTGCTGGTCCCAACTTTTTCTGAAATCGCCTTCGCAGACTCTCCACGATATTCTTGATCCCGGGCTGGTGGAACGCATTCTGGATCTCCTCGAGCGACCGACCCCGGGTCTCTGGCATATACGCCGCCAACACGGCAACGGTGCCTAACGCGAGTCCTCCGAACAGGAAGTAGGCGCCAAAGGCAGACTTGTCCAGCAGGATTGGCGTCAAGATTGCGACGAGCCAGTTTGTGAACTATGGAGACGACTGTTAGATTGGACTTTGACTGTCAAGCAGTGGCAATCACTTACGAAAGCGAGGCCTTGCGCCACCGAGTTTGCGGCTGCCCGTGTGTTCGAGGGTTGGATTTCGCTCGCGTAGATCTTGCCGACAATCCCCCACGTAGCGCAGTAAGTCAGACCGAACGCAAAGACGGACACGATGACGACCCATCGGGCGGCTCCATAGGGATGTACCACGCCTGCGGCATACAGTGAGCCGATCAGTAACATGAGACTCCCGAGGCCGAGACCACCTGTGATCGCGGAAGTCCGTCGTCCCCATTTGTCGGCGAGAAGGAAAGCCGGAATCGAGATTGCGAGCATCAGAATGGCCGAGACCCCAGAAGCGAGGAACGAGGCCGTCGAAGACGAGAGTCCTGCTTGCGAAAAGAGAACAGGCGCGTACTACCATCTAGTCAGTATCGTCTTGCAGAGTCGGATGAGATGCACTCACGTATAAGACGCCATCAATGCCAGACAACTGAACCATCCCTAGAACAAAAAGAGCCAAAATAGTTCTCGACCGATACCCACGTCGAAAAAGCAACACCAGGTTCTGCCACAGCGAAAGACTGCTCCTCTGCTCCGTGGCCGTGAGGAAGTCCCGCTCTGCCTCGACCATGGAAAAGTCCAGCCAGTCCAAAGCCACGAGGGCGTCTTGACGCCTCCCATGTAACATCAACCACCGTGGCGAGTCCGGAATAGTCATGCAGCCGGCGACAAACAAGGCGCTGATGATGCACTGAATAATGTACGGGATCCTCCACGCCATTCCAGATTGTATGCTGACGGTGCCGTAGCAGGTAAAGTACCCCACACAGATACCGGCCGTTGCCATGAACTGCGGCAGCCCTGCCAGGATACCACGGTGTTTGACGGGCGCGATCTCGCAAATGTACACGCTCACGTTGCTTAGAAAGACGCCCTGACCGAATCCAGCAATGGCCCTCCCAGCAAGGAACTGGGCCAGGCTCGATGCGCTCCCCTCGATGGCGGCGCCGACGCCAAACAGCACTGCGCCGAGCGTGATGACCTTGAGCCTGCCCAGGGAGTCTGCGAGTTGGCCTCCGAACACGGATGGCACAGCGCCCGTAAGCATAATTAGTGACACGGAGAAGCCGACCAGGAAAGGCGACAAGTGGCCCATTGTTTTCGTGAACTGGTCCATCTCCATGACTGCGCCCACGGATCCTGTATCATAGCCATTGATGAAGCCTCCCAGGG